GGCTGCTACAGAACCTTAATTGACACTTAAACTGATATTCTCCGTGGACAATAAGTTGTGAAGAAATTGAGAGATGTTGCTGCTCAAGCAAATGGGCAATAGCTGGAAAAGGAACTTGAAGATAAATAATTCTACGAAATGAGGAAGATACTGGCTGTAAGTGGATTTCTGTCTTAGGGCAATTAAGGCATCGTGCCTTGAGGCAAATTGCTGGAACTTCCGTACCAAAAATTATTATTTTTTTAAAAAAGATTAACATTTTTGAAAAAATTTTACTTCGAAAAAATAAGATGTTTGAGAAACTATACATTGGACAAAAAATTACTTTTTTTTGAAAAAAAAATTTTTAAATTTTTTTTAGAAAAGAAATTTTTTTCTTTATTTTGACATTTTAGAAGATCTAAACTTTTTTTCAAAGCAATCGTACTGCTTTAACTGCATAAAGACGAATTATCAAAGCGCGTAAGCGCCGCGTCGCCGTCTAACGCGTAAACATTGGTACGGAACCCATAGGAATGTAAACCAAATTTATACTTATTGTTAAAATCTCTGTAAAATATCTTATAATTCGATGTGCATATGTCTAATGATCATTTTTGACCGCCAAATGACATTTTTTTAACTTTTTTCATTAGATCTCCGATACCGCTAGACCTGCCTTTATGAAAATTTGATCGGTTTTTCACCTTGTCAATACAAGTAAAATGTTTTTTGAATTATTAAAATCGGACGCTCCGTTCTCTTAAAACTGAGTTACCGCTTTTGGCACTTTTTGCCCCGTATCTTCGGAACGGCTAGACCTGCCTTCGCCAAAAACTAATGTTTTTTTAATTATTCAAATCGGTTGATCGGTGTTCCCAAAATCGTCGACGAAAATTTGTATCCGCACATACATACACACACACACACATCCATTTTTTTAAGGTAGGCCAATTCAGAAACCTTTGAAACGTCGAGAAATGCAAAAATTTTCATTTTCCATTTTTTTTGCGATTACTATAACTTGCCCTACGGGAAGTTACAATAGCATTATATAGAATTCTTGTGATCTTAAACTTGTGTCTAATTGTGAGATTTAAGTAGAATTATAGAATATAGAGAATTGGAATTATGAAGCTGGAAGCCGAATTGAAAAGGAATTCAAGAACATCAAAATGTAATTGAAATAAATATAGAAAATGATTTCTTAACAATATCGTGTAAAATCTCACACCTAATAGAAACAGTTTCATTAAAGTTCCAACAACTTCTGGATTATTACCACTACAAGATTTGCACTCATCCCAAAAATTTAGAACGATTATCAAGACTTCTTGTAGGCAATTGAAAAAAAAGTTAAAATGGAAAAAAAATCCATGTAATTTCAGATTTATTTTTCTGTTAGTTTTAGAAGTTATGACTTTGTATTAGTAACCACAACTATATTTTTATAATTGACAACTTTTATATATTAAAAAAATCTAAAATCCTGACTTACCATTACTACCATAAACACTGTCAGACCGAAAGTCAGGGCTATCAAAACTAAGTCGGCGGGCTGGTTTGGGTCCGTGACATTGACCACTGAAGCAAACCGAAGAAGTTGAGAAGCACATTACCTAAAATAAATAATAAAAAATATATTAATTGAAAAAATAATTAATACATTTATCTGTGTTACTCTCCTTTAAGTTATTTCGTTTTAGATTATATTCGAAAATTTTGAGTTTTTGAACATTTTGATTATTACAAATGATATTATAAATTATGTTATGATTACCCATAAACTCTGCGGCCAAATCTTTTATAAGTTTTTTCCTCATGTTTCAAATGAAAATATTCCCCAACTTGTAGAAATTCAGTTAAAGGATATCCAACTTATATTGTTTCTGCCAAATTACGACTGCAGTTAATCCTGTATTTTTTTGTTGTTTATTGAATTATTACGACGCATAATTATAGAAAAACAAGGAGAGAGAGTTTGACTGATATGGTGGTATTTTGTGTGAAGCATTGTGAAATATCTTTGATAACTACATCATGTGTTTTATTAACATTTGTTGTGATATTCGATGCAATAATGTTTGTCATTCCGTGGTCAAATTAGGAGTAGTCGTGGTAATTAAAAAAATTAATTACTAATGATTTATATAATTATGTTTCTGGACTGTCCAACATAAACCATGTTGACCATGTCCTATTTCTTTGACCATAATGGTAAATCGATTTTAATACAAAAGCAATGTGCCTTAAATCTAATTCTTCGACTTGACCAATATTTATCAAAATTTAATCAACACGTGAAATCTTTTATTCCTTTTAAATCGGATTGTGTATTAAACTAAAACCATTTATTTTAGAATTATGAAAGATATATACAAGTTTAGTTACAAGTTTATGAATGATTTAAAATATCTACTAAAATACAGTATAATACACCTTAATTTAAATTTTAACTACAAGTTCAAAATCTCATTTTTATTATTATGAATCCTTTAACGATCAACTTTACATAGAAGTAATTAATAATTGTCGAATGTTTTTAACTTTTGTTAAATAAATGGAATGTTTAAATAAAGCACGATTCCAATTCTATTTCACGGTTTTTATATTTGCCAAATCTACTCAGGATTTTTGCAAAAACGTGGGATCTTTCAAAACGTAGATAAAATTGTTTTCAATTACCAGTTCAAAGATATATAGAAACGGCTTTACCAATCATCACTTTAATATTGAGATTCATGAAACATCATTAAATTTTCAAATTGGTCCAGAAAATAAGAATTAAATAAGAATGTTTCATTTTATTTACATTGATAAAAAGGATCAAAATTGGACTTGAACTACGGCTCCAATTTTGGGCAATGATATGAGATGTAGCTCTAATTCTTTACCTTTTTTTATTTATTCCTGTATTTAGTCTAGAATTCATATTATATATTATGAAAAAAACCGAGGTCCTCTTTGAAACTAAATAAATTTACAAAAAATTTAAAAATTTGAAATCTATAAATATAAAAATGAAGGTATATTTTTTATATGAATAGGTCATATGTACTAAGCTAAAGAATTTTCAGTTAAATAACTAATTTAAACAAAATTAAAAGGTTTACAATAGTTTTTAGTCAAGCAAAATAGAAATTATGTCACCTAGAAAAACTTTAAAACATTTTTCTCCATAACTGGAAAGAATTTTGAACCATTTT